GTTAGGTTGGTAACGAGACTCTCGTTTATAAGGTTCTTTTCATGTTTCACAATCAACACATTCTCCACTTTTATTTGAATGTCTGGAACCTCTTTGCGCGTTAATAATCGACGGAAAGAAAATTTATTATCCGTATCCAATCGTTCTTATTCGGGATGCTCACGTTCAGACCTAAGCCAAAATATAAGTACCTCGCGCCCGGAACATAAATTTTGGCTGTTACAGCCAGAAAAAAACTATGTGTTACTGAAAGTTATCTATATAAAAAATTAAATGATATTAATAAGGATTTTTTCTTAAAAATAAAAAAAATTGCGGAGAGAACCGCCCGAAGCCATTAACACCCGAAAGTCACTATCGTCTGAATTTCATGAGCATTAAAAGCCACAACTATAATAATCACCTGTATATCTTCCTCTGGTTTTCAAACTATTTCCTTATCCTCTTGGATAATGTTTAATTATATTACCGAGAAATTGTCTCCAAAGGTCTTCTTATTAAGTTCCTAGGCCAAAATATAATAACATTAATGTTATTTTTTTGTAATAGTTTTACGGACCAAAGGTTGCGGGGCAAAACCTTAATCATTTTGGCAAAAGTTGAAAATAGTTTAGACGGATTCTACGGTCTGTTTCGACGGTTCGACGGTTCGAAAATTTTTTGGTCAAATTAACTAAATTTGTCAAAATTTAACGCGTTTAAACAGTTTGATTTGATATTAATTTTGACCTAGACCAGTGATTCGAATAAATTCAGGATATGTATTAAAATGTACCTGAACGGAATACTTTTTTGAGGGGTAATTGAAAATCTCATTTGCATATCAAAGTTTGATATGTTTTGCCACTCGTCGAAACTTTCGCGGCTTTGTCTTTAAAAAGAAATTTGGCAAAAAAGCCAAAACTAGTTTCAATTTTGACACCTGTCGAGGGTTTTCCTTATGTCCTTTTGATTAAAAGCATTTTGTAGGTTAGAATAGTATTTTCTAATATTTGCCGCGCCGATAAAGCTTCCTCCTTCTACACGGTAATTGTGAAACACTCACCAACCAACCACAAACGTTACTTTGGTTTTCTTGGAGTTTTAACGCCATGTATTTTTTTTCTTCCGTCGGATATGAAGATTTGACAATCAAATGGCTTCTTTCGCTACACCCTCGAACAGCCATTCATTTTAAGAACTCGACGAAAAGTATAAACCACATTTTAAAAGTAATCGACTTTGCGAAATACATTATACAACGTCACTTCATTTTTAAAGACTTGAAATAAGTAAATCAGTTTATTTAAAATAGAACGTGTAATTGTAAAATCTTTTGAAGTTTTTTTTTTATTTTTTACATAAATTTAGTCAAATGAACAAAATTTTACATTGCAGATCTTAATAAAAATTAAAATTAAAAGATTTTTGACATCGTTTAATAAAGGAAAATTTCTTGTCGATCTTCAAAGAAAGAAATTGATCAAGAGAGTAAAAAATTTGAGGAACCAACGCGCACCCCGGGCCGAACGTCATGATACTCATCCTAACGCGGTGATGGGCATTAATCATCACCAAGGTTGCCTGTCGCTTCTTTCAGACAGGGGAGTTGGCCGCGGTACCTGGCCCAAGGTACCAACCCCTGCTTACTTGCTCTTCTCCACCCGTTTTACGCTAGATATTTATCATTTCTCAATCAGTTCATAGGGTACCCTCATTATTTCAACCGTTTGCCATAAGCGTCCTCATAACAACGGGAAGTTATCATAATACATGAAGCTAACCTTATATAACCCTATAATTTCAACTTTCAAAAAATTGTGGGATTGTGATCGACATAATTAGCCAATAATAATTTAAAATTATTTCATGTGATCATGAACAGTGACCTCATTTTACATTTAATCATTTAAGTAAACGTGACACTTACTTCATAATATAAAATTATACCCACGACTTATTTATTTTCGTCCCTCATATTTCAAAGTTCTTTGCCATACTAAGTAAATTTTTAATTTTGTCGTCATGACATTATAAACGGTATGAAGTTAGCAAAATTCCAAGAAATGAACTTTGCTACATGTGAGTGTGAACTATTGAATGTTGTTGCTTACATTGGAAATTAATGGCTCATGTTCTTGATAAAATACATAGACTGTTATTTGTTTGTTTGATCAAACATTCTACCGTGTCTTAAGATAGTTACGAGCTAATTTGTATGGACCTTATCATCCTATGGAAAAATTGGAAGCCGAACAATTTACTCAACTGCAATGGTTTAACGGCAAAGTCAAAATGTTGTTACGAATTACAACCACTCATATTACGTTCGACCTCTTGTAAGTAAAGTTTAATTTGATTATACTAGGAGAGGTTCTAATTTCAACATTACTAGGTTTTGGGCGAAGTTGGTGTCAAGTCTAAATCAAGATGAAACATATTTCTCGGCAAGAAGTTCGTCAAGATAAACGTGCACCTTTTATCTAAAAAGAGCAGTGAGAGTTATCAGGTGTATGTAATCAACTGGTTCCTTTATATACTTGACACTCGACATCTACAGTGCGTAACTGAGCATTAACATAAATGTTGGCATCAAAAAAGTTCCAATCATATATTATGAAACTCAAAGAATTACAAATATCATTGTGTAGAATTTTATCGGAAACAAATTTGAAGATCCTGAAAGGTTCGTTGAAAATTTAACATTGTGAATGTTCAGAATTATTAATATCCTTCAACTTCTTCTGAAGTCTTATAGCGGTGTTATTTACAGGTAATTTGTGAATTTAAACATAATCTTATTAATTGATCAGATAGTTATTATTTAAACATTTCTTAGATATTAATTATGGACTCTCAACTAGAATGGATGATAGCTTGCACAAATACTTTATTGAGCGAAACTAAAACATTGAAATCGAAGAGCTGAGTGGTATGTATGTATGATTTAATTTATTTAATTCTTTTCAATTATATATTTATATTTACAGTATATACAGAAGTCTTTGGACGAAATTATCTTAGAAATTTTTTAATACTGCGACGAGATAAAGACTAACTAACAGATCGTACAGGCTAGAAAATATAACGGCGAACCAGTATATCAAGTTCCACGATATATTATAACCTGGCTAGTTGAAGTGCCGTCCACAAAAAACGTTCTGTTCGTCGCCACGCTTACCTCAAAAGCTCTTGGTATATATTCGAAAATCTACTGTAGTTTCTTTTAGAAAACTGGATCCATATTATCGCTAAAGTCCTTATTATTGTACGATACTGCGTCATTAAGCTGGACTATGACAAGAAGCGTCCATTGCAACCCAATGTTTACAAGTTTCACAAACAAAGGCGTTTATAATTGGGTCAGAAATATATGAATGACTGGAATCATATCATTATTTTCAAATAAAATATCCTTTTGGTTATTTAGTAACGTGTAAAATATTATAAAGCCACGACCGGTTCGCCGACCGAACAAGAATCAATGCATGGATATATTTTGCAATCGGAAAAATCAGTATTTAATTCTTCCGTGAAAACATGTCTACGTTGAAATCATGAAGGTGCAGCGTAACAACTGGCGCCTCCAGCAAGACAATCTAAGAATACGATCCGTGAAATTAAAAATTTTCTGAAAGAAAAAGTCAACCATTATGGACTGGTCTACTAACAGTCCCGACTTGTTTCCATAGAAATTTATGGGCTATTGTTAAGAGGTTCGTAGAGTAACGGCAGCAACAAATATCTCAAAAATTTAGTCGTGTCAATGAAGTATTATAATGGGTAATAGGCAAGCATATTATTTTTTTCATTATTAGCACAAGAAAAGCTTATACCATTTTGCTTAGCCTTATATGTAGAAAGTATCTCTTTTATTTCTAATCGCGATCGTACATTGGCCAATCTTTTGTTTTCTCAGTCATCCATCCTGGAAATATTATAAAACGGACCTCCGTTCCACATTTATTCCAAAACATTTATAATTAGGTATGTATCAGATTTTATTAAAAAAAAAGAGAACATTTATATGATTTGAAATCAAAAGTTCAAAATATTTAAAATCGTTTATAGAATTATTTTTTTTAGAAAAATTTTACAAAAAATGCCTCATCAAGCGTCGGTATTCTTGAACGTCGTGATTCTGGTTTCTGAATATGTCATATCATGATTATGAACTGTCGGGTTTACATGGTTGTCGAAATCATGGACTGTCGGGTTTTTGATGCCGGAATTCTAGAATGTCGGGATTTTTGTTATCGAGATTTCGTGATAAACCATAGCTAGAATAATTTTAGAAAATTGTACTTTTTTTTCACTCGCTATTTCCATATTTCAAAAAAGGTAGGTAACAATTCTAATCAGCTTCAATTATTTTAAATCACTATAATTAAATTTAGTTTCACGTAGATTCATTTCCAAGTGTTGATGGTTGTATTAAAGAATCATTTTTAAAGATTCAATGAATTGGAACTCGCTATATTATGGAATCAGACATTACCAACTCCACCTTCATTACTTCAACCTTTTCCACATCCTTCTCCGCTTACTTCACCTGCTACGACAACATCACCACCACAAATATCACCATACTTAATCCAAAAAGCATGATCTTATTAGTAATGTCGCAGAAAATTTGCAAAGATATTTTTTGATTAATTACAATCTGAATAATTTTGACAAGATCTTATAAATACATAACTTACCTACTCGAATTGAAATAGAAATCAAATTTTCATCGATGTTGTCTTTAATTTCATTTTTTAAGCAATTATGTAGTTTATTGATAGAAAAAAATATATGGGAGCGTTGCCGGTAAAATTAAATCACATTACAGATCATAAGATTTACTATATCTCATGACTTGAACTGGTAACGTTCCCATATATTAAATGATTTTATAATTTTACATAATAAATTCTGATTTTCTAATATTGAACTAATCACTTAACAGTATCTTTAACTATATAAATATTATTTTAATTTGCTATTAAAAATGGTAAAACATATTCTTTTGATTTCTTTTTATTTTATGCCATATTCTTTGACCTCTTTAAATTTTTTAAAATAAATTTTAATGATATATAATTTTAAAATATTATTATCTTTCAATAGTAAATAAAATCATATTACTTATATAATATAAATGTTAAATTTTTAAAAAAAAATAGTTATACTTAAAATTAAAAATTATTTAGTTATTGATTTTAATAATTAAAAAAATGTTTAAAATGAATATTATTTAGAATTCTAATATAATTATTAAATAAAATTTATATTTATATATATTTTTTTATTTACAGTATCTTATTTACCTTTTTTTTATATTTTTTTAAAAAATAGTAATATAATAAATAAATCTAAAATATTAATTCTATTATTATTATTAACATAATATTTAATAATCACATTTTAAAAACATTTATGGTAAATTTATTTAATCATCTAAAAATAATTTTTTTAAATAAATATTATTTTATTATAAATAAATCTGTTTTTATAATAATTATTTTATTATATATAATAAATGTTATTTAAAAATTTTTTTTATAAATGAATAAATATTTACAGTATAAAAAAAAATTTTATATTAAAAAAAATAATAATTAGTTAAATAGTTAATTGAAGATTTTTAATTAATTAATATTACAATAAATTTTTTAATTACTTATTAATTATAAGTATTTAATAATAAATAATGATAAGTAAAAAATTTAATTTAAGAAAAGTATTAACAAACAAATTTTTTTTTTAATTAAATAATAAATAAGTCATATAAGTATTTAAAATTACATAAATGTTTAAAAAATTAAACTAAATTATTTATTTATTATTCTTATTAAAACTTTTTCATTAGCTAAAAATTATAATTATATTTAATTAAATATATAAAATTATTTTTAAAATAAAATAAAATATTATATGGGAGGTAAGCTATTAAAATCATGTTACGGATCATATAATTTACTATGTTCGTAACTCGATTTTAACAGCAAAACCTCCCATATCTTAAGAAATAATATTTAAGTAATTAAATCATCATTTTTATATAATAATTAACATTTAACTAACTGATTTAACTGATTGATTGATTATTTAAAAAATTAAAATTTAGTAGTTTTATTAAAATAAAAATAAATAATTTAATTTTAACTAATTAAATAATATATCTTATTTTATATATTTACATTTTTATATATTTATTTTTTTTAAATTTATTTATAATATGCATTTTTTTTAAGATTTATTTTATATATTTGTAATATAATATAAATACTTTATAGTAAAAAAGGAGAAAACTAATAAAAAAATTTTTTTTACTTTATAATTTAAAATATTATTTTTTTAGTAAAATAAATTCAGATTTAATATTAACTTAAAAAAAAAATTTTTTGGCAAATTCCTTTTTTTTATTGTAAAGTGCTCATATTATTACTATTTTTTTTTTTGTTTTTTATTTAAAAATTAAGAAAATTAAAATTATAATTACAATAAATTAATATAAAATATTTAAATATTTTAATTTATTAATTAAATATAATTAATTAATTATTAAGACAAATTAATAAAATTAGGTAATTAACTATTAATCTAAAAACTTTTAAATAATATTAATTATAATAATAATTAATTATAATTAATTATTATTTTATAAAATTAAATTTGATTAAATTTTATCTTAATCTGATTTAATCTGAATTTAATAAATTTATTTAAATTTAGATCTATTTTAGAACTACCAGATCAAATCTTAAATTTAAATCTAATAGATTAGATAAATTTAATCTGATCTATTTAAATCTGGTTTTAAAAGAATTTAAAAAGTTTTTATCATTAAAAAGAAATAAATTTTTAATCATTCTAATTGAATAATAATAAATTATTTAACTAAAATAATAATAAATCATTTTTTAAACAATAAATTATTCTATTTAAATAATGATAAATCATTCTAGTTAAATAATAATAAATTATTCTTCTTTAATGATAATTAATTGTTTAATTAGAATAATAATGAACCATTCATCTTGAATAATAGTAAATCATTCTAATTAAATAATAATAATTTATCCTAATTAAATGGTAACAAATCATTCAAAAAATATGGTAATAAATTATTCTAATTAAATAATAATAAATCATTTTAATTAAATAATAATAAATCATTTAAGAAAAATAATAATATATCATTCTAATTAAATAGTAATATATTATTTAATAAGAATGATAGTAAATAATCAATTTAAATCTAAACTTAAATTCAATAAATCAGATTTGATTCAAATTAGATAAATCTGATTCAAATCTGATTAAATTCAGATTAATTTAGATTAATCTAAATTTATAAAAAATACTAATTAGCATCTTTACTTTATATATAATAAATTATAAAAAGTTGAATTATGATAATTCTGCAAATACTTTGATTTATTTAATATATTATTTTTTTCCAATTTATTAATAATCTGAATTTATCAACTTTTATAATACTTTTATTATAGAAAATAATATTATAAATACAAAAGTTATATTATTTAAATTATTAATAATTATAATTTTATATTTATTAATAAATAATTTTAATAATTTTAATAATTAAATAAATTATTTATTAAGTTTAACCATTTAAATAAAATAATGACTAATTTTAATTATTATTAAATATAAATAATTTTATATAATTACAATTTATATTTATAACATTTATTAAAGTAATACTAAAACTATATATATACAGAACAAATCTTTTTTTTTTTATTTTTTTAATAATTATATTATTTAAAATTGTAAATTTAAAAAAAATTAAGAAAAAATAACTTAATAAAATCTGTTATAATTTAATAACTATAATAATAAATTACTAAAATTTTATTTATTTAAAACATTATTTTTAAAAATAATTGATTTCATTTCTAATCATTCAGATTTTTTTTGATTCGACTTTCTAGACTAAAGTAAGTAATATACATTCCTTGAGTTTTACGTGTAATAAATGATTTGGTTAATTGGTTAGTGCTAATCACTAATTTTATATTTCCGAAAGTTGCTAAAAGAATTATTCTTTATAAATCAGTTCCAGCCTGAGTTCAACACTTCGAGTAATAAAATGAGGTGTAATTGTAATGATGTAATTTATTTTCCATATAATCAAATATTATTTTAGTTATGGATTTTTACGAGACCATAATATTCTAGTATTCCTTTAACATGATCCAAATTGATTCACATTTTAAATAATTTCGCGATTTAATTATTATGATTTAAAAGTTTACTAAGATTATTCGGCCCAATTGTATAATGCTTTTTAAAAAGTTATCCAAAATTGGGAATATCAGACTTGAGAACAATCAAATAATTGAGTTGTTTTTAATTTTTATTAGCTCTTTATATAATACTATTTTCGATTGACTCACCATAGAAAGAAGGAATGAGATGCAAAGCCCTTGATCATTTGCCACAATTAATCATTCGATTGAGAAAATACAAAACAATTCCCCATATACATACCGCTTCAGGACGAAAAGTAGATTATCTTTCAAAATGTATCTCTTTAGATTGCATAATTGACTTATCTTCTTTATGCCTAGGATCTTACAGCCTTAATCACACCTATAAAAAATATCTAACAATCTTGAAATCTGCATTTTACTTTATTCAATCCAGTCATGTGACATACATGATTCAAAAAATCCAGGGAATCAGAAGATACGATTTGAACGCGGGCGTCGTAACTCATCGTTGTTGCAATCTTCTTTCAAACGCTCGATTATTCTGATAAAAGTCTATTTCTAATTTTCTCTTCTTCAGATTCAGCTAATACTGTACTAATGTGATGGGAAGCATTAACTCCTTCCTGGTCTTTATTGCTGGTCTTCTACAAAATTTTTTGACGCAAAAAGGAAACATCTTTACTAGTGTCAAGTAATGTTCACATTTGCCCACGGAATCACCATAAAAGATATTAATTGGTTATGAACAAATGTCTCGTTTAATAAACCCTTATTCGTATTTTTTTTGTAAATCACGCAGATGCCTATTAATCACTAAATGTTGCATAAATTAATATATTTGACATTAATTTGGCAAGTATCTTAGCTTCTCGTCAGAAGAAAATATATCTTCAATAGCTAAGGTGCAGGGGCATCATTCTTTTTTTCTTGAAATGATTATTTGGTCCATTGCCTTGAGCAATTCTTCCTAATTATATGATCCATCCACCACCTGAAATCGATCCTCTTATTTAGTGGTAAAGTGTTTGTCATGGCTGCACCTTGTACAGTATGTAACTTACGAGATAAAATTTCTCCGAGATTTAGTGGCAACAAGCGCTAGGGGATATTAATTATGACATTTACAACTAGGGATGCTAATGGTCACGGTCATGACCGGTCATAACCGGTCATAACCGTGACCGATATCGGTCGGTCAAAGGCTTCTGACCGACCGGTTGACCGACTGCCTTGAGACCGAATAACCATGTTTTAAATAGTAAAAACATTTTGTATTAAAATTAGCAAAAATCAACATTTTATTTTAATTATCTATAAATTAAAATTTTGAAATTTTGAAAAAAAAATTTAAGTCCGCGATAATGCTGCGCCACTATATAA